ATCGTCGGACTCGGGAGGTGGGATTTCTCATGAGCCCCGGGGGTGGTCGCGTTCGAGGTGCGACTGCCGACAGCCGTCTTGTCTGGACTTCGTTGTATCTTGTATCTTGAGGGCGTTATGCCTAGAAGGGGGAGTAATTGGATTCTCAGCATACCTCATTTCCCATAGAGAGATGGAGGAAATACACGGTGGATCTTTGCTTCCTTTCCCCCGAGAGTCCAAGTTTGATGCACGACGTCGGGTCTGCCGGTCTCCATTTTTTCGCCGCTTGGATCTATCGGTGAGATTCGAGATCATGCTTTTTGTCGGTTCCTTGAAGCGAGCAGTAGAGAGCGATGTTCGGCGATGTACAGGGTGGCCCAAAAGTCAGGAACCGTGGAGATTTCACGTTTCCACACTTTTCGAACTGTTCACAATTCACCCGAAGTCACTTTCGATCCGTTTATACACGAGCTTCCTCAACATTTCTCAACTCGACAGTGATCTCGGCACACTCGGATCTTATTCTCTCTTTCACTTCCAAATAGCACATAGGTTTTGGACCATCTACTGCACGCCCCACTTCCCAGCACACCATTTGAGCAAAGCGCATTACATTAAAGTAACGAATGGTTTAAGGAATGTTGTTATATTTACATCATTATTAGGAAGTCACCTTAAATTCAATGGGTAATTCTTCGGTAGAAAAGAATCAAGAAATAAAACGTAGGATCGACTGAAGACGATCCATTGGAACTGCATGAGAAAGCATCCTCCAACTCCCTTCAGCTCCACCTCCCACTTCACGCCCCGACCACCATCGTGGTGTGACTCGAACGTCTGGAGGGACGGTGCCCTCACCATCGGGATCTACGCGCGTCTCCGCCGACGTGCGGAGCCCTCCCTCGAGGAGGCTCATGGGTTATACGGGGTGATGGAACCGTCTCGTCTTCCTGCATCAGAACAATTTTCAGGCTGGATTCATCCACCCAGGAGAAAGAACTCGAGACGGACTTACATCTCGTCGTTGTTTTCGCAGAGGACGCGATCCAAGATGCTGAAAGCAATGCTCTCTTCGTCTAAGAGAGCTTACAGCTGCAATTCGGGCGTGAGCAGCGGGGAGCATTCTCCAAAGCGGATCGTTGGGAATCGTCAAACTCCCTACTGTTTCATTCAAGGAATCACCAGAAATGAAATATCTGGAGCGGATAGGATGGACCCACGTGGTGAGAAAACGATGATCAGCAGACCTGAAGTCGTGCATGAAATTTGGACTCGAGGTGGAGGGTGGCAAAGGCCGATCGTGCATTCTTCCTTCTCCCTGCAAGAAAACAGAAATACAGAGAATCCAATCGATATCCTTCCAGATAGAACGAATTCAAAATACAATGACGACCGTACGAGACGTTCACGCGATGTCTGTGTCCAAACTTTCCGGATAGCGGGCTCGTGTCAGAACCAGATCGGCTTTGAAACAGACAGTGGGTTTCACGTTTTTAATGGATATCCCTCGAGGAATCGGCCGGTCGTGTCAGCCAGATCAGTCGTCCCTCCTGCTGCCAGTTAGTTCAGATATCCGCCGCGAGATTTCCTAATGAACGTTATGGTTCTCTCGAAATTCCTCAATTCCTTCCTCGTCCCACTCCAACCTCAGTCAGTCGGAACTGTCTTCGTTGCACGCTGAGTGAAGTACCTGGACTCCAGATGATTCTGCGTGGCAATGTGAGTGAAATCTAGACGAGAGCGCGAAGGATCGAAGCACAGAAGCTTCTCGTTCATTGTTTATTCGAGGATTCCTCTCAGTTGCTTGGCAATTACAGAAGAATCAAATCGCATTGAATCGTTGCGAGCTCGAAAGTCAACATCCACTCGTCAATCTGATGGGCAACTTTTGTTGCTGCTGCCCCAAAGAAGACGATTCCGACGAGGGCAACGTGTCTCGTGAGTCTTCCGAATCGGGAAATCAGGGACATTAACCCCTTTACAAGTGAAAAGAACTAAACGAAATTCCCTTCGATGCTTCAATGATGGAAGAAAACATTAACAGGGGATGTGGTGCCTGGTCTTCGGCATTCGTCACGAGATGGCGAAATAGAATCGCCTCCAGTCGAAGAAAAGAAGCGTTTCCTTTACAAGAGGAAGATATTTGGGAAGAATTTCCTGACGAAAAAATCCGGATCCGGGGAGACTCCGTCGATGGGGCCGGTCTCTAAGGATACACCGGAGGAGGGAGACACAGGTCGGGCGATATCCAGTCTGAGATCCATCGGCCTCCCCTGCTCCTTCTCTCATCGCGACACCGCTTATGTCGCGCCCGCTGAAGCCGATGATGGCTTCGAGTTTGATTCCGCCTCAGAAGCCTCCATTCCTCCGTCGGTTTCGTCTGGCGGCGAAGAAGAAGCTGCCGTTCCCGTCGTCGGCCTCTTTCCTCCTTTCGCCTCGTTGTCGGAGGACGAGCAGTCGCTAACCTGGACTGCGAATTGGGCGTTGCCCATCGCTTCCGGTTCGTTCATTTTTCTTCAACTGCTCAGAGGTTTGATAGGATTTTCCTCGACGACTTAATTACGCAGGGAAAAAAAGGAAATGAACTGTGTCGGTTCGAATTTCGCATTGCACCGAAACGAAATGAGCAACGTTTAGAGTTGGTTTTCACTCCGCTTTGCAGAATGCTCCTCGCTTCTCACGCCCGAATTGCAGCTGAAAGCTCTCTTAGACGAAGAGAGCATTGCTTTCAGCATATTGGATGTATGCTCCGAAAATGATGATGAGATGTAAGTCCGTCTCGAGTTTTTTCTCCTGGGTAGATGAATCCAGCCTGAAAGCTTTTTTTGATGCAGGAAGACGAGGAGGTACCATCATCCCCTCTTACCTCTGAAAGCGAGCCTCCTCGAAGGACGTGGCCGCACGGTGGTGGAGATGTCCGTTCATCACGACGGCGAGCCGTCCGTCCCCGCTGACGTGGGGTCCCTCGACGATGGAGGTGAAGGCATGATGCGGGAGCTAGAGCTCGAGGAAGGTCGTGCTGGAGGGTGCCTTCTTCGGAAGTTCCGCTTCTAGATCGCCTAGAATGCATGATTTTTTCATATGATGGAATGAATGATTCTTTTATGACGAAACGTCATTCGGTGGATTTAAGGAAACTGCTAAATCGTGAAGCAATGTCAACAACACTCATTAAACTGGATTTCACTGGAACACCACGATTAGACTGAATCGAATATTTCCAAAATGGCTGGGATACGACACAGATTTTTATTTTTATTTTTAAACCAGCTGCATTCCAATCGGAAAATTCCCGCTAAGAAACAACTGGAACCTACTATTTTCCAGCTCTTTGCCAGCTGGAAATGGTCCGAATTTACAGATTTGGCCCAGCTGGAATATTCCAGTTGGGATTTTAAACTGGGCAGTGCTTCTCGGACACGATCGACAATTCGGGATGAATGATTCCTTATGACAATTCCTAATGCAAATGTATTGCATCGGCTGTCTCACAGCGTCCTTGTATTTGTGCCAGATTGTGGCATTGTGCCAGATTGTGGCATTGTGCCAGATTGTGGCATTGTGCCAGATTGTGACATTGTGCCAGATTGTGCCAGATTGTGGCATTGTGCCAGATTGTGCCAGATTGTGGCATTGTGCCAGATTGTGCCAGATTGTGCCAGATTGTGGCATTGTGCCAGATTGTGCCAGATTGTGGCATTGTGCCAGATTGTGCCAGATTGTGGCATTTCAGTGGGGAAGGGACTCTTGGACATCGCTCTGATTTTCGGAAATCCTGGGTGCGTATGAACTAAATCGACATTATGAAGAACCTAATCCAACTCTTGCAATATATCATTTGAATGATATCTTGCAAGATTAAAATGAATTAATGATTCATGACTTAATTAAAATGAAAATTCCTCCCCTCAGCTCACCCGGCCCTCTAGAGGTCTGAATCCGAATCTGCTCAGGTAGACGGAGTTCTTCAAAGTGACCGAGATACAGCATCAAATGCGACTCCTCTTCCGTGATGACCATAAGGCACCGTTTGCATTCGATTCCTTCAGCAGCCCGAAAGAAATGGCATAAACGTGACGACGTACTCGTTGCAGAAGCCTCAGAAGAGGGACGAGAGCAGCGAGTGAACCTGATGGTTGCGCTAGGAATGCCAGCGCCTTATTATAACTCCCCTCCCCACCATCAGCTTCACTTATGTCCCCAACATGGGAGACCCAGGACAACAACTAGGCCTACGGCATCGGTCATGAGGGAAGGGGGGGGGCTCCGAGGGGCGGGGCTTACAGATCAAACAAGAATTCTAGGCAACCTCTATTCCCACCCTTTACAACGCGATCAGCTGTGCAAGCCAGTGCACGATTATAGTGAGAAGAAGAAACAAGCATGGTATAGAATAAAGAAACTTGGAATAATCACGGAGCAAAATACATTTATAGAAAGAGGAATAAAAGAGAAAATGAATCTCGACAGCGTGTGCACGATGAGAGTCTTGTGGCATCCCTGCACCCTCCTCAAACCACTCGGCGGTCCATTTCGGGGCATAGACCGAGCGCGGCCAACGATTGTCCCGCCGGTTTCCATGTCGGTGTCTCGGCGATGCTGTTGATGTGTTTTTTGTCCGTTTAAAGGGGGAGGTGGACATTGTTCATGAAGATGCGAATTCGATTTGATTTCCAGGATCAAAACACGATTATTGATTTGGAATGTGGTATCCCTAGGCCCAACTCTAAATTTGGTCTATCTTAGGCCATTGTTATGTCGAAGTCTTAACGTTAAGTCAAGGGCGCTCATTAGTTCTATATGTGAATAGGATATAAGCTGAATATATATCAATGTCTATAGGCTGAATAGCACCCAAGGCCTTGCATTAAAGTAAAAAAAAAATACCGCTTGTCACTAGGTTCTGGGCCTTCGCTTGTTGGGCATAT